GAGGGGGCAGAGAGAGAAAGAGAAAGAGAGAGAAAGAGAAAGAGAACGAACTTACACATAATTTTGTTGGTAGAAGGTAAAAGAGTAGAAAATAGCAGGTCATGAGGGTATGTGCCTGTAATTTCAGTCCCTGGGAGGCCAAGGCAGAAAGATCTTACATTTAAGCCCAGCCCAGGGAACTTGACAAGATCCTATCTCAAAACTAAAAATAAAGAAGGGTTAGGATAGACATTGGTGGTGGGCACATGTCTTAATTCCAGCATTTGGGAAATAGGCAGGAGGACTGCAAGTTTGAGGCCAGCCTGGGCTACATAGTTGAAGACTCATCTGCACTGTTTTTTCTTTTTTGGCGGTACTGGGGGCTGAGCTGAGGACCTTGCGCTTGCCAGGCAGGTGCTTAATATGCTGCTGAGCTATGTCCCCGGCCCCCTCATTTGGACTGTTCAGTAAGATTATTTCATAAAACAAAGGGGAAGGGAGGTAAGATTCCTTATTTTTTCTGATGTGTGCATCTTTAACAGGTATCTACATTAAGTCAACCATACTATGGTTTAAAATCAAAGAAATCCTAAGTTTCAAGTGTCTGGAAGGTGACCTGATTGTAGAGTGCTATACTGATCAGTGAATTCATCCACTGATGAGCTCAGTAGTTCATGTGCTGTAAGAAGGTGGGGCCTGGCTGGAAGAGGGAGAGCATTGGGTATGTGAACTGGAAGGGTGCACTCTTGTCCCTGGCTCTTCCTTTTACTGTCTGCCTTTTGGCAGCCATGTGCTTAGCCACCTTCTTCTGCTATGCTTTTCCACCTTGGAACTCTCTACCATGGACTGAACCCACTGAAATTGAGCCAAAATAAACCTCACCTCCTTAAAGCTGTATTTTGTTCCAGTCATGAGAAAGCTATTACAAATAAAACAATTTTCATTTAAGCTCTCTTTGATGATTTCTAATAACCCATAAACAGAAGATACTCTACACTGTAAATGTTTGGATCCTAAAGAATCTTTTTTTTTTTGCAGAACCGGGGATTGAACTCAGGCTCTTGCTTTCTACTGAGCTATCTCCCCAGTCCCTGGATTCTTAAGAATCTTAACAACGCTGATGGTTCAAGGGCATAAGTGCCTGCCTGGCAAGCTCAAGGTCCTAAGTGTGATTCTGGGTACCAGAAAAAAGAATCTTAATTAAAAAAAAATTAATAAAAAAAATCTTAACATATGTTGAATTAAAATTATTTTTTCTGAAATACACATCTAAATTTAAATATATAATGTTTATACAATTTTTCAGAAACATCTATTTTTAATTATAAAGCATCATGTACTGCTTAACAAGAAATCAAGATGTATATGCAAAAAGAGTACCTCCTAGAATCTGATTTAACAGCCATAAAATAACATGTCAGGTTAGATTAAAACTGAATTTGGTAAAGTAGAAGCTCATGGATAGCGGTGGGCTAAAGTAGACAATATCTTACTTAAAAAGGTCTAAAAATTTACCTCAATACGTAAAACTAAGAAAATTATTCTAGTAGTGTATTCCTGGCTTTTGCCCGAGATGTAGACAGGAAAGTTCACAGAGTCTATCTATTCCAATTGCTCAAGATTCATACATTTACTCACACCAAGTTGTGACTTCCAAATGACCATAGTACAATATGAATTCAGCACTATTTTCTAACACAGTTAAACCACAGGTTAAGATTAAACGACCAGTTGATTAATAATCTGCTAAATAAAACAAATCCTTTTGTAAATTATACTTAACAAATACCCAAATTATACTTAAAAATATGCCTGACAGAAAAAGACATCTTTGGGGGCTGGAGAGATGGCTCAGTGGTCTAAAGCACCTACTTGAAACAAGCTTGGCAAAGCACAGGGACCGCGGTTTGATCCCCCAGCACCACATG